ATTTTTACTCACTGTCAGTAACTACAGATACTACAGATGGAATAATTTCAAAACAAACTAATTTTTATTGTATCCTTAAATAGTACAAGGTTTATTGGCACTAAGTGCGGCTTTTACTCTTATGTTCGTTTACTTCAAATGATTATTGAGGTTTGTTGAGGTAGTCTAGATGTAAAACACATTTGTGTTTGTGTATACACATATTGTATAGTAAGAAATTCAATTCAATTAGTTTGAAAATACTTTGTTGATGGGTCATGTAGTTTTCGTTTAGCGTTCGTTGACAGATGGAATATCAAAACAAGCATTTTAATCATAGTTTGCATTTTTATTTCTACAAAAGGAAAAACGATTCTCCCAAAGGTTAGGTGCTGTTTATGGTATCATAAAAGCCACAAAAGAAATTGGTTAGGAAATGTCATTCTGGTTTTTTTCACTCAATGCTGCTCTGATTGTCCAGTTAAAGTTTCGGACAACCCAATTAAAGAAATAATCGATTCGGCTAATAGAAACAATTTGACTTTGTTTAAAATTATTGGGGTTTGGTTTAAAAAAAATTCCACATCCACCGAATATTCCTGATCACAACCATCAGATTAAAACTCTTTAAATTGAAAAATTTAAAAAAAATATCGTGCCAAATTGTGCATAAGTCAGTTTTTGATAATAAAACTAGAAGTTTTATAAACTTGGGACAATGATGCTTCTTGGAAGATAACAAAAGGTCATCGATCAAATGGTATACAGAACAAAGTTTTTTTTAATTCCACACAAAAATTGTCTTCGATTTTATAACAAAAATGCGCACTTACTTAGTTGCCAACTATAACTACCAATTTCTAATATTAATATTAATTATTATTAATAATAAAAATAAAATGCGTACTTAGTTGCCAACCTGATAACTACAAATTTCATTTCCAAGATTTAGGAAAAAAGATATATAAAAAATAGATATAATTCCGTTCCTAGTTAAGAAAATATTAACTAGCTAAGCAGAAATAGCTTCATGAAAAAACTGAAACCAAAAGTAATCATAAGTACAAAAAATTGCTATGATTTATTTATAAAAAAGAAATAGACTTGAAATAACACAACGTGGAGACTTAGGTTTAAAACTCAGTAATAAAATTAAATTAGTTTGAAGGTTCCGCTTTTATGGCTTATTCCGAAATTTTACTTATGATGTTTAATAACAATTTAATTGCGATTTCATCTTAAAAGTTAGCATTCATAATTTTTCAAGAACAAAAAAATTGTATGGGAGGGGGCATAACGTTTCTTTAAGCCCTGAGGTGGGGCGGGCCCAAAAAAGGTTGGGAATCACTGGTTTAGACAATAGATATAAAATCACACACCCACACTTATTCCAAATTTAGTTTTGAACAATTGAGAATGGCTTGCAACATCGAGAAAACAAAATTAGCAATTCGCTTTTTAGTAAAAATTTCTCCTTTAAGAAATTAAGAATTACTAAATATATCAGTAATATCAATGACTTATATAGATAAAAAATTCTATATCTAACACAGAGTTTAAATGGAATTTCGAATTTGGAATAATTCCATCTGGTATTATTATATTATTATTATTATATTATTTTAAAAACTGCTGATAAATAGGAAACAATTCGGCCAGAAACAAGTGTAGTTAAGTTCATATCGTTTAAAAAATGGTTAAATGTTGAAGAACAATGCAATTGATACCATTACTTGATCAATCAATATTGACAGAAATTGAGATTAATGAAATAGATTTTGGTGTTATTCAGAATGCTGATAAACACGAGTATCCGAGTATCCATACTGTTAAAGTTAGATCTTCAATATAGAAATACATCTAGAAAATGACGAGCTACATGTTTTCCCAATGACACAAGACACAAAAAGAATACATTATGTCATATTCCTTATCTATGGCATTAGTAGTCAGCTAGTTGCAATTTTGTGGCTCATCAGAGTCATAACTTGATTTTATTTTATGTAATTTTGAACCATTGTTTTCTAAAACAAAACGACTGATAAACTGCTCCAAGAATATATGAATCTTTTCTTACAATCCCTTTTTTTGCAAGTAATTTAATTATAAGTTATTCAATATATTTTTAGTAACATTAAATATTACAAATCAATATTTACATTAAGTAATGGAACATGAGAATGAAGTGTCAAAGTACTCAAAGTAGTTCATTTCATATGAGTTACATCTACTCAGTAGTTTACATGTATAATTAAATTAATATTGTAACACAAATTATGAAAAGACTCAGTCATATAATTAAAACACAGTTGTTCCATTGCAGCGATTTCGAAGATTTGGGGATCATCGAACGGCGTTCGGTTTTTCTCCGATATATTCCCCAATAGACATGCCTCAGTGGGCTAATCAAGAATTTCCTGACCATGCTTTCAATACAAAATCTGATATGAAGGAAAATAGAGTACTTACCGGGTCAGGTAGATTCCAGCGAATGACGAATCCTGGCTCGCGTAAAGATATTATGCATTACGTTGACAACCAATTTGGTATTGACCAAATGTTTGAAGATGGTGGACCGCCTAAAATAGAATTCAGGTAAATATTTAAACACATTGATAAAAAATAATGTTAAACATATCTGGATAACTCCAGTTTTCTTTTTATTTAATTATATTCGGTTTTAAATTTGATTGATGCGCAACAATACCTTTTTTGGATTTAGCATTATGGCTTGATGTATGTGCCAATTCTCTGTTTCACAACTTACGGTTTTCAAAATGTTATGACAACTGCAGTGGCAATTCTCGGTTAATGTTTTATTTTACATGGAATAACATTAAGCAGTTCAAAATAATAGCTTCTATTTTGGCGTTGCGTTTATATACAATACACGTGAGATTGCGAAAATGTTGTTTTGACATTTGTGCCATTTGATAGATATGGCAGTTGAACGATCAAATATGCGCCATAGGCACATGTTCTGGAGTACTAACTCATGGAGAGCATGCAAACCAACATTAAAAACATAATCTGTCAAAAGTTAAAATTAGAAAGATGCACTGAGGCCATAGATAAATAAGCATAAAGATGTACCAAGGCATCCAAATAAAAGTAGAAAGCATCGAGAAATCCAAATCTTTAACATTTTTTAATTATTATTTGAATTTCCAATAATCTAATTAATTGTATATCGCGATTACTATTGAATGAAATGAATTAAATATTCATATAATATTTATATATTGCATTCTTTAGATTTATGTTTATTCGTCGTTGAAACATATATTGTTGAAATGTTTATTTGCAGATAAATAGTCAAAATAAAAAACAATAAATAATTAACTATTATTATTATTTACGTTTCGACACTGTATGTGTGTCATCATTCAAAATATAAAAAATGTATCAATGCATACCAAACCATCAGGAACAAACACAAATATACATTTGAAACACACATAATTATAAATTAATGAATAAATAAATAAATATTTATAAAAATAAATAAATAAACTAGTGGTGCCTTGAAGCAAATTGCTGGAACTTCCCGTACCAAATTAAAGTTTTGAAAATCTGAATTATTTTTGATATTCAAAGAATTTTTTTTTTTGAAATTAAAAAAAAAATTGAAATATTTTTTTTTCTTTGTCCAAAAATAATCTTTTTGTCACCAGAAGCAGAAAGTTTTTTGAATCATCCAAATCAAATGCTTATCTCTTTCAAAAAATACATTTTTTGCACATTTTTCTCCGTATCTCCGAAACGGCTGGGCCCATAGATAAATAACCAAAAAATAGACTGGACCTGTATGCCAAAAATTTATTACCACTTCTCCCCATTATTACGAATCGAATGCTTTTTAGATCATTCGAATCGGATGTTCCGTTCTCTCAAAAACTCGATTTTCTCGATTTTCTGCACTCTTAGCTCTGTAACTCCAAAACGGCTGGACCAATTTTTACCAAAAACTAATCAGCACATCTCCCTAACCATAGGAATCGAATGTATTTTAACCATTCAACAAATCGGTTGAATGGTTAAAACACACACACACACACATATATATAATATATATATATATATATATATATTTGGGATTATTTCAGAGTATTGCCAGAAACAAAAACGTCCGACGAAATAATAATTCATAACCGAGCTCTAAGCAATTCTGGGGAAGAAGAAAAATTTTCTTCTTCTGAAGAAAGTACAGAAAGTGGCAGGTACAAAACATAAAAAATATAAATATATTCAAATTGAATACTATTTTAATTTTTTTTGAAGGTACTTAAGTGGATCCGCATTAAATGCAATTTCTGAAACTCTTGGAGCAATAAACACGGTTGGTCGATATTTGGTGAACATGACAAGGCATGACAGAAAAGATATTAGCCAGGAACAAGACATACAAGAAGATGTTCCTGGTGCTCTTCTAACAATAAGCAAAAATGTTTTGGGTAATTTATATACATGGATAAAATTTACATGATATACGTATTTCTAAAATGCGGATTTAATATTAAACTCAAACTAAAGTTGTGTATTCACTTAGTGAAACACGTGTTCACTAACTAAATATTTTCCGTTATTGTTATTGACTATTAAAGTAATGTTGTTTTATCTTAAACATTTTTTTTATCATATAATTTTGCAGGTAGAAATGTCACTGAATCAATAGCACCATTTGTGCGCGGCGAATCTCCCTCGAATATTAACTTTATAACAGGTTCGGCTAAACAACGTCCTGGTGGAAAAGTTACAAATTCCGATATCAACGCTCGTGCATGCACAACACCAGCGGGAGGCCGCGGTAGATGCGATGACCTTAGCAACTGCCCGAGACTACTTTTGGACCTTGCTGCGCTTCGGCAAAGTTTGTGTTTCAAAAGCTTATTCGTACCTGGTGTGTGTTGTCCTGTAGATGACAGTAATAATCAGGTATAAACTAAATTTTTGAATTTGTCAACGTAAATATTACATATCACATTTCTTTTAGCATTTCAGACATTACATTATTAATTTTAAATGCAATTTGGTTTCAATTTTGTTTTCTATTTATGTAGCAGAATGGTAATTTGCAATTAACAGTGTTGACGACGCAAAAACCGACTCGCCTAACAGCCAGGCCTCCAGTAGTGCTAACTACAACTTCTCGACCCATAACTTCCACCAGAAGACCTAAAACAACAACAACCGCATCGACTACGACGGAAGATAGTTCTTTGGAATCTGAAAACCCAATCGATGAACCATTGAATCAACTCATTGTTAATCCAGATGGTAAGTTGATAGTAATAGTAAGCATTGGATTACAATATGCTAACATGTGCTAAGACCATTACAGTATATACATACTCAAATTGACCTAATCATTTTTACCAGAGTGCGGCGAAACTGAAGATGAAAGTGGTCGTGTTGTTGGTGGACAAGAAGCCCGATCTGGAAGCTGGCCCTGGATGGCTGCCATATTCCTTCATGGACCCAAACGCACAGAATTTTGGTGCGGTGGTTCACTCATTGGAACAAAATATATCTTAACTGCTGCGCATTGTACTAGAGACTCGAGGCAAAAGCCGTGAGTAAATAATATTTTTTTATGTAGTTATTGAATAGCAAAAGATTACATGTTTACGATAATTTTTTGTAAAAATTATTTAATCATTTAAGACAATAAAATTATATGAATTTATAAACAAATTAAGGTGCAAAATGAGTCACATTTGTTTTTTTTCTGAGTTTCATATCTCTAATTAAATGATTGACATAAAAAAGCACAATAAAAGTTAATTTATTTTGAATAGATAGAATAAATAAAATCCCAAAAATTTGAATTATAATTCATTACCTAATAATAGTTTTGCAGCAAGGCAATTTACTGTACGTCTTGGAGATATAGACTTAGAAGATGACGAAGAGCCTAGCAGTCCCGCAACATATCGGGTGAAGGAAGTACGTGCTCATCAGCGTTTTTCTAGAGCTGGATTTTATAATGATATTGCAATTTTAGTACTCGACAGCCAAGTTAGAAAATCCAGATATATTATTCCTCTTTGTTTGCCGCCTAGGTAAGTTTAATGCTGGCGTTTTGAAGTTAAAATTTGACTGACTAGTATAAGAAAATACTAGAACTACTACCGATATCTAAAAAAAAACTACGATTCTTCACAATTATCAATTCATTTGGAATCAAATTATTTTATTCAAACTTATTTAATTGATTTTATATTAGGCATCGTCCTTTGTCTCTTTCACAAAAAAACGTGATAAAAATTCATGCCATATTCTTTCCTTATTATGTATTTTTAAGTTCTATCACATTCCGCAGACAAGATGCTCAAGCTCGTGACCGTTTGGCTGGACGAAGAGCAACCGTGGTCGGGTGGGGTACAACATACTATGGTGGCAAAGAAAGCACGAGGCAGCGCCAAGCCCTTTTACCCGTTTGGAGAAACAGCGATTGTGATCGCGCTTATTTCCAACCTATAACTGAAAATTTTGTTTGTGCTGGATACTCGGAAGGTGGTGTTGATGCCTGTCAGGTAATAAATAAACTATAAAAATTATAACTTTATAATATTGTGAAATATGTCTGCCTTTTTACGATATATCATACATAGTATTAAAATATTCGCGTTATAATTATGAGAAGTTTCATTAAATGATAAAAATTCCATAAAAATATTTTACTGCCACTAGCAGGCTATGCTAAAATTAAAAAAGATTAATGAACATGTGAAGTAAACGAATTTCTTAATTTATAAATGATAGAATATTTATGTAATTAATTTGGAAACATTTTTTTTAAATTCTGAACTTATTTTGAATTCATTAAGCGATTATTGAGTATTTCTTTAATAAAAAAAAATAAAAAAAATAACAAAAATGTATACTTCACACTGAGTAAATATTTTACAAAACCAAATTGCGCCATTTCCGAATATGGTGATGCCAAAACTAAAATTAATGGAAAGTAACATATTAAAAATCGAAAATAAAATGGGTACTTGTACCAAATTCAAGTGTTATTATTATGAGATTGTTTTAAAAAATTTAACAATATAATTAATTTTTTCTCCAGGGCGACAGTGGTGGGCCACTGATGATGCGATGGGGAAGTCGATGGACTCAAATCGGAGTCGTCTCCTTCGGAAACAAATGCGGCGAACCAGGATATCCAGGAGTGTATACAAGAGTTTCACAGTACTTGAATTGGATACGTAATAACACAATTGATTGAAATAGTTATTGAATGCTATGGCATTCTGGAACCAAATTATTTATGAACAAAAATGCTTAGAAATTATAAATATTTTGAATACTTTTCTGCAAATTCTTGAATTTAATTTATTGGAAACATAACGGAAACTTCGATAATTCAAAATGCTTTATTGAGTTAGTGCAAATAAACTGATTTTTTTTAAACAAGTATGCACAAAGAATTGATTGAGAAGTTTTGATCATTATTGTATGTAACAATTTTTAGATAAATACCATTCCATACACTCATTGAACAAATAAATAATATACGATACGCCATTTTAAATATTTCTATGTAGATTTTAATACTAAACAAACTATGTTAACAGACACAAAACATAATTCATAGTTTAATAATTATAGTACTGAAATAATACCGTTTCATATTTTGAAAAATTCATTGGCCAAAATGAACTTAAGATAATTGGAGCAATTAAAGATATGCTGGTTTTCTAGTGATGAATCATACGTATAATAATATTTACATTTATCTATTCATACATATGTTTTTAGAGATCATTAATATATTGTGATAAAGATATTTAAGCTAAATTAATTTAAATGTTTTAAGAAAATTGAAATAAACTAAATTTAGTAAAATTTAAATATAGAATTATCATAATATTTATACTTATAAATAAGTAATTATAAATGTGAATGGAATAAATGTATAATGTAAGTGGAAATTTATACTCATGTTGATATTTTCCAAATTTTATATAAAGCAGTGTATATATACCTTTATAGAATTTAATAACAATTTATATATAAATGTACATTTTTGTAATAAATTATTTGTTTATGTTACATTTCTATATTTAAAAATAAAATTTTCAACAATAAATTTTCAGTAACCAAAACCATGATTACATGAATTATTATTATTCTTGTTATCTGCTATTATTATGCAATTTCTAAAAATTCAAGGATATGTTCATGTTGGTGGTCAACATAAGCTGAATTGTTCTTGTGTTAAAGTAGAAAATAGTTAATTTATATTTTTAAAAAGTTGTTAAAACTTTTAAACATGATGAATTTAAAAAAAATTAATAATAAAAAACATTTATCAATTTTGCAATATGAATAATGTTGAAATATTGAAAAGATTTTAATTTTCGCACTATTTAAATTATAAGCCCGCTGGTTAAAACCATTTGAGTTAATATGATATGTAACTTCAAAACTGCTGTAATGACTTAATTACAACCAATGGGTTTGCAAACACAAATTTAGTATTTGTTCGAAATCGATCCTAAACGCATATATGTGTAAATATACATAAAGCAATGAAAATTTTGGAAACTTCATGATAAATTCAAGGTATTTTCAGAACTTTTATGTAGGCACATAAATCCGAAAACAAAACATTTGGGAATATTGCTGAAATCTTGAATAAATAATATTTAAATTCATTTATCAAAAATGTATTAAAATGATGTAAATAACAAAACTATCTTACTCTACATTAATATGCATATACATGCAAGCGTATACATATACATATATTTATGTGTGTGTGTGTGCGTGTGTGTGTATATGTTCAAAACATATACACTGTGTGCATATCTTTTAATACATATATGAAGGATAAAACATATTCAAAATTAATTTAAACAAATTTACAATTTATAATTAGCCGAGGTTCAATTATTTATCCAATAAATTAATTAAATATTTACAATTTTGATTGAAATTATGTACATATTCTTGTAAGAGATTATGTGATCCATTTTTATATTAATAAGATTACTTTTAAAATTAAATAAATATTAGCAATTTTTTATCTTAATATAAGAAATGTAAAAAAATACATCTAAACTTACCACCAGCTGAGCAAAATATATGATAAAAAGTATTGTCTGCTTCATGAAATAATACTAAATGGACTTTAAAGAAACTCCATTTCTCTTTCAATACCCACAAATTTAAGCTGTTCTGTTGGTCCATATCTATAGTCAAAAAATAATTCTTCACCAGGCTGAATTGCTCGTTTAGCAAATATTCCAATACGATGATCACCATTGACCATCATTACCTAAAATTAATTCATGATCCTAATTGTCACTGAAGTTTTATTGAAGTATTGCATGTTACCTAACATACCTTTGCATAGCAATTAGGGTTTATAGAATGATTTGCAAATCTTATTTTGTTTCCTTTTCTTGTAGCATCTACCACAAAATCTAAAAAAAAAAATGTATATCAAAAGGTATCCTCCGTTATATAACACATGCTTGGTAGAAAATTCTTATGACATGGCATATGAGTTTGATTTATTATTTGACTCATGTATTGAATTTCAATAATTTTAAGAATCAAATTATTATAAAATAATAAGTTTATAGTAATAAATAAAGAAATAATAAAAACTTCACTTAGTTAAGTTTACCATTATTTAAATTAAATAAGAAACTGCACATATATTTATCATAAACTTTTCCTCTACGGTCAGCCTCATCTTGAGAAATTATTTCACCACAGTACTCAGAGATAAACTCATTCTTTTGAGCACTTTCTTTCAAGAAAATGCCCCAGCCGGCTACATCTGATGGTGCCATTAGTAAATGTTTATCTGAATAGAATAAATAAGTAATACAATTATACTACTGATAAAATTTGAAAGTATTATAATAATAAATGTAATACAAATACTATTAAATTTAAGTGAATAATGAAAATCTGACTAGGTTGAGTCTATTAAAAAGAAAAGATAATGCAAAAAACTTACGTAATCCCCTCTGCACACTAACATTTTTACATGTAATCCTAGTTAAATTGAACTGATCAGCACCACATGTTTGACAAAGATCGGGATCGCATTCACGCACAGCCAAATAACAAGGGCATTGCTTTGTATTACACTGTGCTTTACATCGACATCCTGGAAAACGATTCTGGCCTACAACAACAATGAAGTTATAGTATTTAGAAAAATTAATATGCTATTATGCAAGTAAGTAATTAAATAGCAATAACTATACTATTCATTAATTTACATTTAGTTCAAAACAATATTTTTCTAAATAATCTCACATTCTCAAGTACATAAATAACCAAAGCAGTAATCTACAGCATACAAAAACCATCTAAAAGCTAGTAAACTTACAATCAGAGCTGCATTGACAAAACTTTTCACAGAAATTCTGAGCTCCAATGCAAGGACAATTACTATCACATGGTTTGTTAGGATGATCACAAGGTGAAAAGTTATAAACGTGATTTGAAGAAGAATCCTTTTTTAATTGAATTTTGCGACAATGAACAGACCTATTATTTAAAAATAATTCTATATTATTGAATGCACACACTTATATAAATATATATAATGATATTTTTATTTATTTTGAAATACCATAATCTATGCTTCTTCTTCTTCTTCCTTGGTGGTGTAAAGTCTCTAATAGCTTCCAAAGTCGGAATATCTTCTGCTTCTTTTTGTGAAAAGTAATAAACCTTTCAAGAAAATGCATTAAGGATATTGTTCATAATAATTAAAATGTTCATCAATCAATTACCTGTTGGCAAGTTTTTGTCAGCATTATTTGTGCAATAGCACAATAATTTTTTAGTAGAACTTTATGCAAACTACGGAAAAGTGATTGATCTGCCCCTGTCCATTCAATATCAGTGCGACCTTGCAAACCTATAAAGTGTGGTTTATTAGTAAAATAAAATCTTTCATCATATTGCATCATGATTTAAACATATTATTGACATACTTGACATTGGCAATGGTGCTAATGCAGTTTGCTCATTAGATAAATTCTGTCCATTCACATTCTGGAAATCTACAAAGCAGTAATCAATCAAAGTGACTATTATAATAATATAAAATATTTCTAAAATAGAAAGTTTAAAACTTAAAAACAAACTTTGTATAACAGTAACCACTTTGACGTTATAAATAAAGACACACTGATTATGGTTATCACCGATAGTGGTTGTTTTAATGAAAGGTTAAATATATAAAAACATATAAAAATTCAAATTTTACATTACAGTGAAAAATATATTGAACATAGGTTCACTGTCTTTAATGTCAATTACAATTTAAAAAAAAATTACCTCTACTAAAACGACTGCTATCATTGCTGTCTTCTGAACTAGCCTCATTGCCCGAGTCTTGCGGTAGCTTTTCTTTGGCTAGTTCTTTTTGCTTGTCACTATTGATCTTTATATCAGCTTCTATTTTTTCTCGCATACCATCCTTTAACATGATTTAAAATAAATTGTAGGTCATTATTTGTGAGTAAGAAGAAAAAAACAAACATGCAATTTAATAATTGCAAAAACAAGATATAAAAATATGGCTTCTATGTTTCTTTAAAATTAATTTATTTCAAAATTTTATATTGTTATTAACTTACCAACAGCATGTAACAGTGTTCACTGCAAGGTTCTGTGAAAGGTTTCAGATCTGCAAATTTTCGCTTTTGTAAATTGGGAACAGGATGACAAGCTTGTAATCCTGTAACACATTTGAATATTATAATTTATCACCAGTATATGAAGCTTATTAAATTAGGTTTGAAAATATTACAATTATCAGTGTAATATATATTTAAATTTTATTTTGACGAGGTTTGCAGAAAATATCTCACCTGCAAATTGGCCACCTTTGATGCAAAGAATGGGTGCATTAAAGGAAAACAACATTATAAAAAATCATACCATTACCTAATTGGGTTCATGTACATTCACATGTATTTATACATACATCATATGTACACATTTGTTATTATATGTATATATATTTTACTATATAAAATTTCAAATAAGAAAATATATTTACTTACGATGAAGAAAACAATCGTATTTAAAGCATCTTCTACAGAATAATGTATGAAAAGAATGCAGTGTTTGTTCTCTGGGAACATTTTCAGCCCGAATCCCATCAATGTTTGGTGTACATTCAGGAGGATTTGCATCTGGGTCAACTTGTTCTGTTAGTTCTATATACCTATAAAAATATTAAACACA